GCCCGGCTGTGCCCCCCCCGGCCCCGGCGGCCCCCGCCGCCTCCCGCAGCGCCCGCCCCGCGGGTGCTGCCCGGGCTCTCGCTAGCCTTAGCCCCCCCACATCCATTTGATCTCGTTCTGCTTAAACCTCAACCTGCCTTTTTTTCCTCCCCCAAAACGTGCCACCGGTGCGGTTAACCCGAGCGGCGGAGGGGGGCCGTGTCCGGGCTGGCGTTCCGGTGGGGGCTTTGCCCCCCGGTCTCGCCCGCGCCCTCGGCGGGAGACCTGTGCTCGTGGTCCCCGCTGGGGACGGTGGTCCGTCTTTCATGTCAGGTCTCAGCCTAGTTTCGGCCTCCTCTTTACATAAGGAATTAAAAATAGCGGAATCGTTCCGGCAAAGCCGTTATCCGAGCAGCGCTGCCTCCCCATCCTAAAATCTGTGCCCAATTGTCTCCCGTCTTCAGGGATTTGGGAGGGCTTTTGTCTTTTAGACATTGATCTAAATGCTTGGCTGTGTATCTTCAGCGCCTGTGTAGCTCCAGAAGGCACGGCTGGGCGCCGGTAAATTGAATTAAAAGCAGAAATGAATAGCGAATGAATATAGTGGAAAATAAAATCGACCTAGAGGAATGATAACGCTCACTTAAAAACAAAGAGAAGGGGAAATTAGGCTAGGGAGGTAAATAAATGAATAAGTAAGCCTGGTGCCTCAAAACTTGTCTCAGCAACGTGGACAAACGTAGGGACACCGCTGGAATACTATGGAAGCCGTTGGCTGCGTGACCATGTTAAACATAATTGATGCTCAGTTGTCTTAAAGTGTCAGTAATAAAAAATGTATTATTTATATTTAAATAACTCTTAAGTACCTGCCAAAGTTTCAGTGTGGTTTTTTTATGTGGCTAGCTTTTAAATCGAGCTGAGGTTTTACATCAGCTAAGAATAAAATACGGTATAATGCAGCTGAGATGCATGTAAACATCCTTATTTTTGGTAGCAGAGAAAGGATTTAAAAATTAATCCATATATCCTAAATATGTCTTGAATGATGGTTGTGTGTACTTCGTGGCATAAAAAAATACCATGCTGCAGTCTGAAAATTGCTTTTGAGAATCATCCACAAATTGTATGGAAATTTTTGTCAGTGTTGTTTCATTGTGTGTACCATTAGTCTGCGCAGGGCTGTTTTGAGGTCGTTGATCCTGACTTGAATCAAATTTTACCTCGGTCCTAACCTCTTAACTTTCCTTCACGTTAAGGAATATTGAATTTGTTTGATCCTGTCCTGTTAAACAAAATGTTTTCCCTGTTTATATTTCAGTGCAATACAAAGTCAGTCTTTTTTGATGTGCCTCAGTAGAGTTTCCTATTTGATTTGCCCCCTGGAAGCAATCCTAAATGCTTTTGGGGGGCCAAAACTTACCTTCATGACACACACATATGTGTCTGCAGGAAGAATTTGGTGACAGGGGTTTGTTAACAAATTTATCCCACTAAGAGTGAGTTGTTTTAGCTGTTGAATGTTTTTAGTTCAAGGCTAAATCTCCCTCATTGTCCATGAAAGGTCAGCTGTGTGATGCCAGCTGCTTGGGGCTTTTTTGTAATGTCAGTCTTGAAAGCAAACTGCTATCTGGAAAGCCAAAGACCAATGTGTATCCTAGTTGTTGATTAGTAATTTTAGGCCTTAAATACCTTTGTTTTTTTTTTTTTTTAACTGCAGTTACAAAAAAACATAGAAAAATTAGCATCGTTGCAGACAAGTCAAACCTCTTTTTGCTGTTCAGCTTTTTACACAAACGTCTGATCATCAGTCAGATACTTAGCTTCTGAAGCACTTCTGCAGGTTAACAGGAAAGCTGAAAGCTTTTTTTTTTTCATTTTCATTTTTTTCCAGTGTCATTTTTTAAATGTGTAGCCAGGCACCCCAGGAAGTCAGGGGAAATGAGTCCTCTCCTCAGAGAAATTCAATAGTTCATCTCTGCTGGGATTGCCAAGAGAGATAGCAATCGCAGCGAGGATATTTATTCCTTGTGAGCTGGATAGAGAGTGCTGATTGACTTCAAAGGAAAAAAAAAAACCAACATAGAGCAGACATGGGAGAACAGTTGCTCTCGGGGGACTTGGGTAGCTGTTGAGCCAGAGCCCTGAAGGTGGAAGGCTGCTACCTGTTAGCGGTCCCCTGAGGAGCTCAGTTTTTTTTTTTTTTTTTTTTATCTTGGTCTTGCCTTTTGCATCCGCTGTGTGCAGGCCAGATTCTTTTGCAGCCCATGGAGTGTTTTGCTGGTGCCTGAGAATCTGCCTCTGACTATCTGCGTGGATCAGACGTGGTCAGGCCAGAGAGCCACGAGCCATCTCCCGCGGCCCGGAATAGCTCCCTTCCCTTCCCTTCCCGGGAGATTTGCAGTCTGCCAGGTGAACCGGCGTCTGCTGGTGTACGCTAATCTGCAAGGGCGACGGCAGCAACGCAGGTCCCAGCTTCAAGAATTTCCCCATGAAATCTGCTTTGATACCTGGCTTCCTAATGTGCTGGACCATCTGATTAGCTGCCTGCTCTTGTCTAACGCGTATACACTAGCTTGTCTTGCCTATTTCTTTTTTTCCTGCTGGAATTGAATATTGAAATTGGATTTTCATTGTTTCTCAGTACATGTTTTCTAATCTTTGAAAATCTGACTTGTACAACATCGGGTTCATCTGGGAGAAGATACTGTGTATGAAAATTAAATTATAATCGGCGCTCTGACAAGCGGATTAAATTGTTATAGGTAAAAGAGTGAAATAAACAACAGTGAAATTGTGATTTAAATGTAAAATCAAATACTGAAATTATCTGATCTCCACTAAAGATAAATATAAAAGGGAAAACTGGTAGGACCTTTGGTGTGTGTACAGCACCTAATGCATTTGGACTTTGGACAGTGCTGAAATTCAGACAGTGGTAATGACGAGATGGAAGTTTTTTATGAGAAATCTACTTGAACTTTGTTTTGATGTGCCAGACCTGTAAAGTTCATATTTCGCCACCTACTCTTCTGAGGAGGGAAGAAAACTAAAGTAAACTCTTCTACTTCAGCATATGTTTTGTTATTAGATATCATATTGCAAGGCTTTGCACTGTTATAAATTATTAGTGGGCAGGAAAGTGAGAATACAAAAGTAAACTTTGAAGTATTGCATATCTTGCTGATATTTGTGTGTATTTTGGTTAAGGTTGTACGTCTTGCCTACCAAGACTCTCACTTCTCAAGAGAAATCACTGAGTCCTCTGCAGTGGTGCAGGCGTGTTCTGGATCATCCAAGTCCTGAGATAGAGGCTGCAAAACGTTCCCTATGCTTTAGGTTGGAACAAGGTAATCCTATTCTTTGAATTTCTTCACTAGTAAGTTGGCGTTTTTGGTCTGGCATTTCACTCGTGTTTGGTGTTTTTCACAATTTAGCAAGCTTTACAAATGGCAGACTTGCAGTTTTTTTCCTATGTATGCAAGTCTTCCTTCACTACATAAATGCTAACAGTTGTTTGATTTTTTTTTTTTATTTTCTTTTCTGATCATGCAGTTCTTCAAGTGTTCTCCTCCTTTGCTATCCCTTTCTTCCCCTGCATAACTTGTGTCTTTTAAACTTCACAGTTTTCATCCATTGCTTAAAATAGTGGACATCTTGGCAAGAAAACTTTGATGCTAACTTTTCAAATCTCAAGAGGTACCAATAGTAAACAGTGGTTTTGGTTTTTTGTAAAACCGGTGCTGTAAATTTTTAAAGGCATATTTGTCCACATCTAAGGTAGTATCAGGACTTTGCTAAGTATAGGACAGACCAAGAAAAGCTGTAACTTGACTGCTAGTGCTACTTTGGTGGGCTCTTGGTAGTCTCAAGTACTGGGATCAATCTGGTGGCTGTTCGGTGCCATTATTTTTACTTTTTTACC